CATACTTCTGTAAGTAAAGTATTGATTATCTCAGCTAATTGCATTGTGCCATTGATGTCATCTAATTTAGGACTGAAAAATAAACCCTTTTATCTGGATGTCTTGCCTTAGAGAGAGAGAGTGTATCTGTCTCCTTTATAATTGACTAATCAATAAACACATGAATGCACCACTTGGCTTAGGGTTACTGCTGATGACTGCCTGTATGAATTGCCAAGCGTTGTCTGACGTGCAACAATACAGCATAAAACTAAGCTTGTCAGCAGCTCACAGTGTCCAAGCTGCAACAGTCACACCCTTTGTAGGAAGAGACGTGTTTGCAACTTGGTAGTGTTAAACCATGGGCTTAACTGGCTTGACTTGTTACTTGACAGTGAAAGGAAATCCTTAAATCAAAGAGCAAGCTATACCTCAATTAATTCTCAGGCAGCCAAAGAAAAATACTTCTGATCTCAGTGTCAGTCAAGACAAGTAAATAAAAGTTCAGTTACTGTCTACTGTTAATATCAATCCTTTTAGCATTTGCCTCATGGCAAAAGGTGCTGCCTCCCAACTGCTATTACTGCAGTTTTAAAACTGTTTGAATTCAAGAGAAGCCTGTTTGTGTGCAAACCAACCGCCCTCTTTGTAAAGCGAGAGTCAGATCTTCGTGAAGCCCTGCTTCTTACTTTGCTACCACAAATTAGCAGGAATCTTATGTATTAGTTTCTGCCAGCTTAAAAGGGTAAGAATGACAAAGACAACTGCTGTCAAAACGCTCGTTGTGACTGAATCATTTAGTCCACTCTCTACTCTATGAAAGACTAAATCTTCCTGAGGGTGGTGATAGTTCAGGCTAAGTTAGAAACACAAGATCGGTCTCTCTTTAAAAATAATTAGTGTGGTTATTTTTTAGAAAGTCAAACAATTAAAGATTATTACATAAATATATTTTAACCTCCCTACCAGTATTACTAACATAACTAGGAACAATATTAGTTTTTACATTACACACTTGAGTTTTGATCTGTTGTTTAGTTTTACTGTTATTTTTCACTGTTGGTATCACTTATTGGTGATCATGCATTGCTAACATGCCTGACAGCATGTGAAGACATCCTTTAGATTACCTAAAACCAACAGTGACTCTAAAATGTGACACTTGTATTTCAAGATAGCATTACCAAATTTTAAAATCAAATTTCAGTTATTTGAAAGAATAGCTATAATTGGTAATTTTACACTGGATCCTGAGAATCAAGACCACTGCTTCTTCTAGAATTAAAAGGGGGTTCATGTCAAAAGCACAACTGTATGAAATATATCCAAAAGCTGAGGAAATTGTTTAGTGTTTTATATTCTAGTGTACAAACATTATTAATGCTGTGAAAAACAAGATATGTAAATATGGGGAATAGCTTATGTAAGGTAGGGTTTTTTTAATGATCAACATATTACAAGTATAGTTTAACTTTCAGAGAATTGCTTAAATGTTCTGGTCAATGTGCTTGTCTTTTCAATCCATTTCAGATGAGGTTTCTTTGAAGCTCTCTGAAATGTACAAGAAGGAACTACAACTCAAGCAAACAATTGTACAAGACATTGCTCATTCTGCTGACCAGGATCTGATGATGGTCTATTTATCATCATGGTTATACCAGCCTTACATTGAGAATAGCAGCAAACTACTACTTGAAGCCATGCTGCTGGAAACAGGACACAGGCAGTGCTAGAATTCCAAATGTTACATGGCTTCCTTCTAATGATGCTTACATAAAACTGAAATGGCAAATTGCAGGGCTTACCAAGTAAGTTGGATTTTTGTAAAACTTATTAAAAATATTTTTCTCTATTTGTATTTATTATTTTGTCTCAGCTGATACTCCTGTTTCTGCATAGGGACAATCTGGTTTTGGTTGCTTTGTCCATTTAAGTGCAATAGAGAGGCTACAGGTAAGAGGCTAAGTGCCCTATAATCAGAAAGAGGTAAACACTGCTTAGTGGTCTGGGAGGGATTCAGTGCACAGACACCTACAGCAAAGAATGTAACTACTTTCCAAGTCATGACAGTCTGAAATACCTACATTGTCCCTTTCACCAGAGAAATTCAGCACTTCTTGATCTTTCGTGGGGTTTTTTTTTGCATTACTTAACAGGTCTAGTGCTTTTGTCCTTGCTTTAAAAATGAGGAAAAGGAAAGGAAAGCACAAAAGGCAGGATCCAAAAGGATCCACACAGTTTGGTATGTGGTCCTGAAAAGCTGTCACAGACACTAGAGTAAATTTTGTTTTGGTTTTGATTATAGTGTGATTAGATACATCACTCTTGAAAAGTGATCCAAGCCTGAACTAGGACATTGGGAAGGTTTAGTACAACTCAACATCCCTCAGTCATTATGTGGAAAGTTCTTGTCTCTTTTAATTCATTGTAATTTTTTTCCTTTTAGAGATGTTTCATGAAAGCATCTGTTGAATAAAAACAAGACCTGCTTCAGTCATGTCCTTATCCCGTATTGTTTGCTTCCTATCATAGTGCTCAGCGAGTTCTTCCTTGGATTACTGTTTCTGATGTCACGTGGGCTTGGTTTAAAGCTGTGCCCCTTCTGTATTTTTGGTTAGCAATTTACATGACAAGAATCAGTGTCTCAAATTCTCGCTTTTCTTTGTCACCCTGCTTCCTTGGAAGAGTAGAGTTGTGTGTTCAGGAGAAACAGTTAATGCAGAAGGTCAATGCTGAAGTGGAATTCAATGCCCTTATTGGTTTTTCACTCCTAAAGATGTAATAATCCTTGTGGCATATGTACCTTTATGTCAGAACCTGCTATTGCAGATTAGCACTTTTCATTAAAGCATACTACCCTGTGGAAACTACGCAGCTGTATCAGCGAACTTGTAGTGAAATCCCTAACTTGTAGTGGATTTAGGCCTTATGTTTACTTCATTATTAATAATCAAAATTTCTCCCACTTACTGGTTGCCTGTATGACCTGCTTCTATACAAACTGGTCATGCAGATTTCCTATTTCACACAATTAGGTAGTGTTTCTAAGTGCTGTTGACTCCTTGGTGTGCCCTGACAGATGTTTACCCTTGATTCTCCTTGAAACAACTATTTGAACTAAAAGACAGTGACACGAAATGCACACTGCAATGAAATGACCATACTAGCTGTAGTTTGACACTAGGAAAATCTAATTAAACCAGGGAGAGATTCTGGAACAGATTTCTGATAGGAAAAGTAGGGTCAATTACTTAACTAGTTCCAAGGTGAAAGCCCATAAGCTTGGTACGGTAAATACCCGAGTTTCCTGCAATAACGGGACAGACACACATGAATTGGAAAAGTTTCCTCGACATGTTGCTCTGTTCAACAATGTGTTTTTTTCTGAGAGCCTAATAGTTTTCTATTCTTACCTCAAATTTCTAGGGTCTAAAAAGAAATTCTGCTGTAGCTCCAGGAAAATGCAATCAGTTATGAATAGCTTTGTTGGGTTTTATTATTTTTCTGTGCGAGTGTTCCCACTAGTTTAACAGCCACCTTAATTTATCTGGGTAGGGACAGACCCTTGTCACTATGGAAACACCTTCATACTTGAAAAATATTTTCCAAGGAGAAAAGGGTGGTTCACTTATAGAATTGTTCTTTTAAGATGAGAGTAGGTGTATTTTATTTCCCAGCATGTGCAAATCAATAGGGAAGGCAGAATTGAAGCAGATTTTCCATTTTCTGCACAGGTGGAAATTATGATTTGTTCTTGTTTCTTGGAGGAAATAAGCTCTTCAGGAAGGAGTCTTCCTATTCACAGGCCCCCTCACTCATTGACCGCTATGGGACGCAGGAAGATTACTGCAAAATCACTGCAGAGCTATTTTGCCATTATAGCTTTAAGCAGTTGATTGTTATATTTGAAGCCCTCAGATGTAGTTATTAGTCAGTACAAAAGAGCATAATAAAGAATTGCTCACTGCAATCAAAGACTTGGAAAGACCAGCAGACCCTTCCTCTGTATGGTGTCTTTATTTATAAGGTAGGTCTGTATCCTGACTATTATTACTACCTCCTAAAAAAAGATGAGAAAAAACCCAGAACAAAAACTACACCATAAAACCCAACCAGCAGACAGGAGCTCACAAACGTCTGATGACATCCTTCACACCCACACATAAAATGCAGGCTTTTGGTTAATTAAATTAATCTTCTTAGGCAACCAAGAAAAAAAAAAAAAAAGGGCAACAAATCAACCAACCAAAACCAACTATGTTAAAGAGATAGAGTAGAGCAGATTGTTTCATCTCTAAATTATCCTCTCATTTAGATTCAATTTTACTGCAAGTTTTTCCTCAGGAACAAGACTTTGAAAAATCCATGTTCATACTTGATTTAAGAACAGTCCTTTTAGCTGATTTGTCCAGATATCTCAGTAGCCTCATACTTAGCAATTGATTTTACACATATTTTAAAGGTATGTACGTCAGCAGGTTTCAGTAATGTCTATAATAGTTCATGAACAAAATTGAGGTACTGGTCACTTAAAAGCCGTTTCTTCACCTGCGAGGCTTCCTGAAAAGAACAGAGGGCCTTGGACAAGAAGCTGCTAGGAGGTCTCCACAGAAATATCATCCAAGCAACATACTGAAAGTATGACAAGAATACAAGGTAGCAGTAGATAAGTAATTTGGTATTAAGAAAGAGCCTTGCCATTAAGAAAGAGCGATTTTTAAAGGTGTGGCTGAACATTAGACAAGCATACTTAAAAAAACACTTCCAGCAGTTCAGTACAAATCAGACCTTGTTTGAGACTATTTTTGTTTCTAACTCAGTGGATGCTTATTTAAGTAAGGATCAGCTAGGCTGTCACATTGTTCCCAGAATGCACAAGTGTGGATGATATTTAAAAATTCCTTATTTCCAGGGAGATTTATGCACATCAAGTTAAGATGCTCATGAATATTCAAGCTAGCTTTAAGAAAGTGCAATACCAGTGTGTTTTGTAACCTCAACAACACAGAAAACACGTATTTTTAATATTGTTTTTTAATTTTACCCATATACAGCTTGCCAGTACACAGCACATCACTGCTGGACAGCAGTACAACTTACTGCATTTTTAGATGGCTAGAGAGAAAAGGAATTATGTAACAAAAGGGAATAGTGCAACAGTTTAAGGGTTGACAGACTTCCACTTTCCACCCACCCCCAACATATAAAGCAAATAGAACAATGTTAATTCTATAATTTTTGGTTGCAATGCTGCTAGATTTGTATAAACATAAGTTATAAAAAGTACAGGGCATAGAAACAGTTTACAAATAAGTTAAATTTCAATATTTCAGTATTCACATTAGAAAAATATACATTTTATAGAGTCAGTCTTTTCCAGAAGAAAGCATATACAGTTTCCTAATTTATGGCTCCAATTCACTTTGCGAGATCAAAATATCTTCACTTTGGCCATCTGCTTCCATTGCCAGTAGTGCTTCCACGGTCTCCAAAGGTATCCCCTCGGGTGTGCGAATGTGCATTGTAGTACCACTGGAATCGGTGACAATAACGATGCCTTCTGCCTGAGACAAAACAGCAGTGTCTGGGTGAGACAGGATAAGCCCATCTGAAGTCTGAATAAAAATCTGTTCATGTCCCTGAGACAAAAATTCATGGCTCTCATCAGTAATCTCAAAGGCTACAGTTTCATCTACAGTAACAGTATTCTCCAGCTCATGCTGTTCCTCTGTCCCACAAGAAAACTGATTCACATTTTCAAAGGAGTTTTCATGGTTCACATGAGCAGAGAGGGAGGTTTCCTGGACAGGGTTCTGGTACAACTCAGTCTGAGCGCTGTGTGGGTAGTTGATTGGCACAATGTTTGTTGAAAAAACTTTTTCAAGTTCCTGCACCTCATCAGTCACAACGGCATTATGAAGTTGTTCAGAATGTTCTTCAATAGCAAAACTCTGGTTTTCTTCTTGCAGTTTCTGGTATTTTTGATTGTGACCATTTTCTTCACTGGTTGCTAAGTTAGTGCTCTGACTGGCCATTCCATTCTCTGACACAGAGTTGCAAAGTTCAGCAGCTGACAGTCCACCTGGTGTATTCTCACTCACAAAGTGTGCTTGAACTAATTCAGGTGAGCCATCTACTTCTACAGGCAACACAACTTCAGTATCTAGCAGAGATGCCTCACCTGCCATGTCTGGTCCCTGTATGTTCACAGGTTGGGAACACTCTATCCTCATTTTCACAGTCTGGGAGAAGGTACCTGAATTTTCAGCATTAAATCTAACTCCTGAATCAGCAGGTGAATTATGTTCCTCTGCTGTTGGTAACCTACTTCCAGTTGTGCAGCAAGTGATGTATCTATCTTCTGAAAGTAGGATTTCTCCATTTAATGGATTAAAACCTGAAAAGGTAAAAGAAATTTCATTTTGTTGGGCCATTTAATACTGCATGTCCAAAAAAAATATTTTTCAGCAATAATTTTGGAGGAAAAGCTAGACTACTTCCCTGCTTTCTTCCCCAAAATTAGCAAACCTGAAGCACCTTACAAGAGTTTCACAGCACTTCCCAGTGAGAAAGCCAGTATAAAAATACTTAAGGAATTTTTGGATAGTGAAATTTTATTGAATATTTCCATACCAAGGGACCTTACGTTAGAAGCAGCATTTTTCTGTTAATCCTGAAAAGTCACACTGAAAGTCAAACTCAATTTTTTCCATCTGGTATAAAGCCAGTAACGTTAAAGAATATGCCAGGCACAACATTGTCAGCCGCTCATCCCCATTACCATTAGTAAACTGACGGAAGCATTTAAACTTCAGAAAATTTTTCTTGATAATCAAGCTCATCCTGGACTCAGACATGTCATGAAGATACTATGAATCTAATGAGCAATGCTAACAGCCCCAGGAACACTTTCATCCTGTGACAGAAAAGGTGAAAACCACTAGAAATTCAGTGTGTTTTACCAGTTATTTGGTCTGGACCAAGAGCCAGGTCACAAACCCAGTAGGTAGTTGAACAATAATTACTAAGCTGTAGAAGGGACCATTTTTAACTTTTTGTACTGTAGACTAGAAAAAGCTCTACCAGCAGGTGCAAGTGAAACAGAATTTAAAACTCATAGGCCATAAGAAAATCATAATACAAGAAATAAGCATGATCATGCAGAGAGCCTTGCCCAGAAAGAAAAATAAACTAAGGGGGAAAACAAAAAAACAACCATTGACAGAAAGAGGCGCAGAGGACAAAAGCAAAGCAGCTTACAGGAACACCAGCAAAAGACACTGACAAAGCAAGAGGACATAGGGATATACACATCTTACTAGAGATGGGTAAGGGCTGGAATCTTTCACCACAGTGATCATAATGCCCCTCAATTACTGCAACACTTTCACATAAAAGATCAGTGTAGTTTTGGGAGCTCACAGGTGAGAGCCCATCTCGCTTTCCTTTCTAATCCACTGTTACCCTGCCAGCTGAGGGGCAGGGGGAATGGAGACAAGGGATAAAAAGGCAGGCAACCACCCAAAGACTGTGGTGTGAAATGGTGCCACGATTCCAACCTTCAGGTCCAACATCTTCCCTAGGATACAGGACAGCCTGCACCAGATCTCCCCTCCCCCAGGATCCACAACACTCTGATGATTCTCAGCAGCCTGCTGGGGCAAAGAGGAAGGACAGGCACACTGCTTCCTCTTCCTCTGCTCTCCCACTGCTCACACAAAGGTCATGCACCATCTCTGCTATACGGGACAGGGCAGGCAGGAAGCACTGAGGAAGCAGAGTAGAGGACAGTACTGTTCCCATAGTACTGCAGTAGTACCAGTATCTGGATTATCATGCATCCAAAAACTGAGCTACTGCCGTGGTCTGCATCATCCATAACTTCCCTCCCCCCATAAGGCCTTTCCAGTTAAACAGCTGCTTTTGAAGGACCTGGGAAGCAAGTTAAGAAATGAAACCTTAAGATAAAAAACACAGTAGCTTGAAAAACAAAGAGATTGGTTCAGCTCCTCCGCAAACAGAACAGAACTGGAAAATCTGAAGAAGTTACCATCTTTTTCAAGCAGTGTACACAAATTCCCACTCTTTTCTTTCACTTCATCTTGATTGGCATAAGCATGATTCACATTCTCCACTACATCTTCTAACTTGGTCCTTTTGGCTGATGGCAACAGTTGCTCCCTTGAGCTCTGTCAATACAAGAGATAATTAACTGGCTGCCACTGTTAACAGCTGACAATATTGGAAAAGATCACAAACTAACTGTGGGCATCTCATGGCAGTGAACTGATGCTCTCCTTAAAAACAGGATTTTACACTAAAGGTCTTCCTAAAAGGCAAGGATTTAAATATAGGCCTCACACTTCACCAAATGCCACTGATTACTTTTGATATTTCGTTGAAATAATCTGCCTTTGCTTCAACATCAAAGCTTCTCTCTGAGCCTTTGTGATGAGCTGTATGGCACGAAACCTGCTGTAAGCTCTCTCTCCAACTTCAGTAAAGGGCTGTGAACAGCCTGCCCAGCACTGTTTGGTAATGAAGACTGATCAAGTCTTTAAATTTAACCACAGGCAGATAACTGAAAAGCACTAGTCTCATTTATCCATTACCAGAAACAACTCTGGATTAAATAAAAAGTAGAACAGTTAAGAGGTCAGATCATAGAGATGTGACTCTCAAGAAGAGAAAACACAGCTCCCTTCTACAGCTGTAAACAGACTAAATCTGCTCAACTGACTTGTCAGAAAGACAGGAACTGTTTCAATGCACCTCTACCACCACCAATTTGCAGAGCAACCACTTCTCCACCGTCTAAGCCTGCTGTAGGTTAGTCCATTTACTCCAACACAAGTTACTAGAATCTGAGGATCCATCTCACTGTGGAGTCCCCATTTACTAGTGCCTAAACAAAATGCTTTCTTCCCTGTATCATGATATTACCTATAAGCCTTTGATAGTCTTTCCTGATTGCTACCAAGTGTCTTCCCAAAGTACATCTTTAGTGTGCTAGTTCATATGCTCTGCTATCATACCACAGTAGACAGGAGTATTTTAAGTATTTCCAAACTCCAAACACCAAGAAAGCCTTACTTTAATACGAGTCAGATAATTACTCCTTACAAATCCATACTAGTATTACCTGTTTTAACAAGTTTTAGTTTTAACAAGTTTTATTTTGTCTTAGTTTCAGTTTTAATTTCCACAAAGGTATTCCATACCTCAGCTAACCGTTTTTGTCCCAGTATCTCCACAGGCACTTGCTCACTAACCATTTTAATTATACATTGTGAACAAGAGTCTACACCTTGTGTCCTTCGCTCTCCAGTGAGTATTTCTGTAATTCCTAGTGATTCAGCAACCTTTAAAAAGTTACAGGAAAAAAAGTCAAAGTTAGCCTCTCTGATCTGAATACATAAATGCTGAAATACTGATTTGTTTTCTTAAACGTGAACTAGAACTACATAAGGTCCAGCCTGGACAATCAATCATCACAGCTCAATGAAGTATTTATAGACTCCCATGTTTTCTACTAGCCTCTGTGTTAATAGAACACAACCTTCATTTGAAGGTGAATATTAAGAGGGAAGAATTAGGAGTACAATGATTATATATAGAATCCACAGCCAGTACTAAGAGCAGAGTTTATTAATAAAGAACACTGTCAAGGCTCTTGATTATTTAAAAAACATTTAAGTCTTCCTGTTTAAGTGGATCTCTTACTTAAGGATTCCACCCCCCCCTCCCATTCCTGTGCTGCATCCTTATGCAGGTGTGCAGCACCTACAGCTTCTCCAGGTCTTTGGTTGTTTTAAAAAAAGAGCACAATTCTATATTGAGAAGGCCCATTAACACTGACGAGAAGCAAGAAAGAGAGACTGCCAGTATCACCCTTACTTGGTGCAACTTCATTTCTCCAAAGAGAAACATCAGTGTTAATTGCCAAATAGCCAGATAAGCATGCAGTAATTCCAGAAAGTTTTTTAGTATGTACAGTGAACATCACGATTTAGTCTGAAAAATGAGTATTAGCCACTGCTAACACTCCATACACAACTTCATTTTGAAAATCAGGATTATTGTAGGTACCAAAATCTTATTTCGACCGTCCCTACTGTGATGTTTCCAGTGTGCTCTCCTGTTAGTAGTTTCAAGTTCAGTGCTGATGAACCTTAATGAGCACATCATTTAGAAAATTTGCTGGAGATAGTATACAAAATAGTGGTTTTGCTACTGGAAACAGAGAAGGGAATACTAAATATATGTTATGTACAAAGGGCTGTTTTATTTTAAGTGAGGGGAACATAGATCAGTTAGGATCCATAAGGATAAACAGATCCACATTAAAAAAAAACCCCAGCAATCAGAAAACCAAACCTACATTGTCTTTCTATATACAGCAGCATAAACAGTGAATCTGAAAAGTCGCTGAAATAATAGTTTGCAGTTTTATTAATGTATTCACTACCTTTCATAATTGTTAGTACGACTGTGAACTGCATAGATGTGTTCAGTTTGTCCTCATTTTGCAATCAAACCACTTATCCCTCTAAATCAAGGCCACTTACATTAAATATAGCTCCCTCCTTCCTAATCAAACATCAAGATGTACTATTATTAGGAGTTAATGCTAAATACACCTTGCAGAAACATGCAGCTTCACACTACCCTAGATATGCAAGACAGATATCGGTGCCCATAGGGGTTTGTTTTGTTTTTTTGGGGGGTTTTAAAAATATTTTTAGTTGTATCTATTGCCATCAACTAGAACTGTACTTTTATTATGGATTTATTTTTCTCTTTGGTTAGTTATTGGACTTTTTACAATAATGTAAATTACAATAATGTAATGTTTTGCTCATCAAAAATCAGATTTTCTTCAAATAACTTTACCAGGTTGACAAAGCTTATTAGAGAAAAATAAAAAAGCAAAGCATCTAAAATAAAGAAAATGAAACAACAAAAAAACCACAGTTCCAAAGAGAGTGCTTTGTTACCTTAGCATCTTTTATTTCAACAGGCTGCTGGCAACTCAACAAATCAGAATTACTGAGGTGATCATAAGCCATTTTCTTTACCATATTATGCAAGTCTTCGAACTCCCTATACACATCTGGGAAGTAAGCTTTGGCTGGATACCCTTTTTCAACCTAGAAATAAGAGGGGAAAAAAAGGGTTTGTTTCCCCCTCCCTGTATTTTAAGAAAGATGGAATCTGTCAGTTTGTTTTGTTCAACGTTTCAAAATAGAAACATTAAAGTCAAAAGATTATGGAACATTCAAAAAATGCCACTGAACCAGGCAGCAAAAAGCAAGAGTTTCCATCAAGAGACCTACCAGAGTTTTGCTTATGTAAGGCTGAAGTGATGTCTAGAACATCTACTTTCTGCACAATTCCAACTCAGGAAATTCAGATACATCTCTAAAGGAATCTTTTTATGTATACTAATGGAAATCTCCCTAAAATAGTTTAACATTTTTACATTAAAAACTCACCTTCATCAACAGAAATTCATATACTGTAACAAGCTTTGTAAGACGTGGGAGAGCCAGCTCCATTAAGTCTTCGTTATCACACTGTTGTATTAGCTGTCAAAAGCCAGAATGAGTTTGTTAGAGCAAAGCAGCCTACAGAGGCTATGCATCACACATTCAGAACATAAAAGTGTCACTACTTTTTTGAAAGATACACTCTATGTTTAATCAGCTTTGAAAACAGATGCAAACATGACACCAAAAGAAGAGATAAATTAGAAAACCTCAAAACAGTTACTACCTATATACAGACAAAACTGAGTCCCACATGTTGCCAACTCACAGAAAACACACAGGAAACGTACAGAAGACTGTGTTAGTTGCATAGATTTTAATCCCCATTCTATCCTCCCCCAAGAGCTTCTTTGTGGTTTGTTTTGTTTCGATGTTGCTTAACTTCAGTTGGGTTTACTTCTTTTTACTGTGTTAGGAGAGATACACAGTAGTAGCTAGTAACTTTCCTTCTCCAGAAAAAGGATAGCAAGAGGACATCTACATGTCAAAAGTCCCTTTCCAGATTGAGTTTCCATTTTCCCTTTGTCTAGTGTTCCAGTAGAAGTATTTTTTCCTTAAAGACAACTTAATGTTTTCTTCTTAGAAGACACCTTGGGCTTTCATCTTGTCAGTAAACAAAGATGTAAAAAAAACAAACAAAAAAAAAAGCAAACCCAATCTTTTTGAAAATTATTCCTTGAAAATAAGTGATAAAAAAAAAAAAAAGGCAGGTGAAGATACTTGTGAAGTAATCGCAGAAGAGAAACCATACCTCTTTTAACCTAGCTTTTCTTCTGAATACACTGTGTTCTGCTGATACACTATTAAGTGACTTTGAAGGGGACTGACCAGGTCTGCTAAGCCTTCCAGAACACCTTGATCTTCCACCCATCCTTGGTCGACCACGACGCTTTGGTCGTCTGGGTCTTCCAGGTCCTTTCAGGGTTGCGGGTCCCCGGTGTCCTGAACTGTTTTCTTGTTCTGCCAACAAGTGTCTGCTTTCTGCAGACTTACAAGTCTGAATTAAGAGAAAGAAAAAAGTATTTAGTCACCATTTTAAACAGTGGTTTGAAGAAGACAATTTTATAACTAATCTATGCAAATAATAAAGACCATATTAAATAAATGCAAAACTGGATACAAGCATAACTACAAAGAAAGTTATGGAATAAATCCAACACATTAGTAAGATTTCTACTTCTGCAACACATATATGCCATTATTTGCAAAGTTAGCATTTTTGATCCACAAAATGTAATACAAAATACAGAGATAAAGGGAATATAATTGAAGAGCTGTTTTATGTCAGTTAAATATTTTTAATATTTTTAAAGTAAAGTATGTCCTCTTCCAATAAAAAGGTTGTAGAAATAAATCTCAACTAGCAGTAAACCACACCCAAAGAAAAATTTGGGCTTCTTTGTAACTATGTCAGAGTATGAAGACTTCATATGAAAGACAAAAACTCTGAACAGCCATGAACAGTGAAAAGCCCAGTAACTAAAAATCAAAATATATTGCCCAGTTTTCACATTTCAAAATCCTTAGTCTTCCCCAAGAACACAGCCAAGAAGTAGCTTCTGTTATAAGACCATCTGGCAAACTCAAGTACACTTTTCTATTTTTAAGTTACCATTGTGATTTCAGTGCAAAATTTTTTTACAGATCAAAGAAGTGATTTTTTTACTGAACACATCTTGTCTTCCCTTCCAAGCTAGAATTTCTAAGCACTTCCCAGTATTTTTTAAGAGAGGAGTTTACAATAGTACTGAGGCATATCCCACTTTTCACAATCAGTACATTTTCATCCCAACATTTAGTAGCTCCCTACTATTCTAGTGATTAGGAAAGCTCTAAAAAGGACAAATTTATGTCAGTTCTATCCAGAGATTAAATTACTAGATTAATTCTAAATATAACATAAGACTAAATTGAGCATGGGGATCTTGATTGCCTTCTCATCTGTATCAGTGTACTAGCTTTAATAATCCCACTATTCTTTCTAGAAAGTATTTACCTGGTCAAAAACTGATCTGTTTTTCCAAAGATTTTAGAAGAGTGTAAAGGATGGGGGAGGTTTGTTTGCTGCATTGGCATCTTAAGCTGTAAATTTTCATGTTTCTGAGAACAACTTCACATTTACAAATAAAACCAGTAACTGTGACGCTGCTACATCTAAGTGTATTTTTTCCTAGACAGCAACTGTATCAGCTCTTGCTGCAAGATGTTAGAGTCATTTTAAAGTTAAAAGAGAAGCTTTACTTTGAAGAGACCAGCTTAAAACACCACAGAAAAAAATCTGCAGCTAAAGTGGCTTCCAGGCCAAAGACTCAAGTTTCACCAAAGTGTTTGGTTTGCAGGGGCAGCACTTAGAAAATGTGCTCTAGGAAAAGTTGCGGTCCACTGCTGGATTCCAAACAAGTGTCATCACAGAAGAGAAAAAAAAAAAACAATTAAAAAAAAAAAAATCTCTATTTCAGTAACAGAAACTGATAGAGCAAATGATGTCTTGCTATCTACCACGCTAAAGGTTGTAACTGAACAACGCAGCATTCGTATCCAAATGCAAAGAATGCTGTTTGTGCAGGAAAAAAGTTTTCAAGCTGAAAACCTTTTCTGTAAGTCAGAAAACCAGTAACCAATGCACACTCAGTGAACATTTTGTTTTATGTGTCTGTGCAAGAATACTATTCCTGCAACATTGCAGGAGACAATAATTTGATTTTTAGAACACAGTACAAGACTTCTACATTTTACTAATTACGTGCCCTACTGAACTGACGTGTTTAAATCCCTACCTTCAGTCTTTAAAAAAATACACTCTTGTCAACAGGAACTCAGGTGAATGAGTACAGTATGCAGCTACAACACCACCATTCCACTTTCTACAGAAGTGACAGTTTATTTAAGTAACACACTTTACCTGTTCTCCAGCCTTTGAATCAACAGTTTCTTCCAGGTTGGTAGCTAGTGCATTTTCATTATTTAAAGTGACAGTAACTGAATTCAAATGTGCTGGACTCATCGTTTCCTCTCTTATTCCACAGGCGTTGTCAACAAATATGCTTCCATTAGGCTCATTTAAAGGTATTTTTTGAGGTGAAGATTCCAGCTGTCCATGGCCTGGGTTAAGTTTATAATGTCTTGCTAATCCTCCTTTTCCTATATAGGATTTTTCACAAGTCTGACATTTAAACATTTTGGGTTTCAGATTGTAATTTGAAGAACTGAATAATGCATCCTTTCCTTTCACCTTTCCTTCTTCATCATCTTCTATACTCAGCTCAGAATAGTCATCAGAATCAGACTGATGACCATCAGCCAAATCCTCCATTTTAATGAATTTATAATCTTTAGCTTTGTATATGGGGGGACGGGAAATCCGTCCAGAACGAGTTTTCACTTTCAAGGATTTTTTCAACTTGTCATCCTTTCGTTTTTTTTCAAGGCATGGTATCAGAGTATTTGCTGAACTGGCTGCAACCATGGCAGCAAGATTTGGAGACCTTGTAGCTGATACTGTGGCACATGCAGCTTTCTGTCCATTTAGCATCTTAGATGTGGGAATCTTGTTCACAGACATTGATCCATGAGATGGTAAAGGTCTCTGCATAAGCAACTTAACTGGAGACTCGGAAGAACTATGCAGGAATAACTGCTGCTGCTGTTCAGCTCCTGTAACAGGCTGTATCCTAATTATCTGGGGATTAATAATGCCAAGTCCTGGTACGCTAGAATGTCTACCAACCGACTGACTCAGCATTATAGTTTTGGACTGGATTGGTGCCAATGATGGCATTGGCCTTTCAGTTTCCTTCATCTGTCCTGGCTGAACTTGGACACAAATGGCTTCCAGCTGCTTTTGTGGAAAAAAGGAAGAGTTGAGATTACACAAATACAGTATTTATAAATAAGGACAGTACTTATCAAGAAGGTACACACATGCCCTTAAAGCAAAGCACAAAGAAAACAATGCACACAATTAGTTTTCCATTTTAATGCATCAAAGCACAGATTTAACATCAAAGCACAGATTCCCTTCCTTCAAGCTACAGCCTCTCCTGCACATTTACTGATGGGACTGCTGTTCAACTAAAGCATGTAAAGTTTGCTCTTAGGCCATGTCACAGCTTTGTTTCCTGCTAGCAGGCTTGTTCTGGAATAGCAGAGTCAATGCCATCACGAAGGACTATTCATAACCTTCATCAAACCACCTACAGTCTGCTAAATGACACAGGCCAAATACAAGACCCAGGACATATTGTAGTAAGTGCTCAGTTAAAAAAAGTTTTGTGATGCGGATTAAAAGGAGCTATGGCTTCATCTCCCTCACAGTCTCTCCTCCTCATCCAAATTTCTGCCTCAGCTCGAACCAATCACTTGACAACCCCTGCACCCCAAAAACCCGTGGCTGAGAGCCCAGGCACTGTCACCCCCTGTAAGAGGGGCACACATGATCTCCCTGTGCACTACCGCTTAACCACCATCAAACAGCTCTCCTAAGCTCCTTCAGCTGCACGTGTAGTTCAGCCGAAACCCTGACCACGTTTAGAGCCGTGCCTTTCAGCTGCAAGGCTCGAGTCTACACCCAAGGGCAGGTGTGGTTGAGGAGGAAGGAAAAAGAGTAAATTGAAAAGCATTAAAACTCCCCTGAGACCTGCCCGCGGCGGTGGATTTCATCACCAGGACGGCGCCGCAGGCTCCCTCCCTCCC